CAGAACCTAAGCCTGGCTGCCACGCCTCAACTCACCAGCACCCATTTCTGCCCAAGGACAAGCCCCCAGGCCCTGTGCAGTGTGTTCCGAGCCCTGATGGAGGCCCTCATCTCTGGTTCTGATGCCTCCTAAGATGGAATGAGACAGGGACGAGATGGGATGAGACAGGGACGAGATGGGGACGAGACGGGGACGAGATGGTGACGAGACGGGGACGAGATGGGATGAGACGGGGACGAGATGGGATGAGACGAGGACGAGACGGGGACGAGACGGGGACGAGACGGGACGAGACGGGGACGAGACGGGGACGAGACGGGACGAGACGGGGACGAGACGGGGACGAGATGGGACGAGACGGGGACGAGATGGGACGAGACGGGGACGAGATGGGATGAGACGGGGACGAGACGGGGACGAGAGGGGACGAGACGGGGACGAGAATGGTACGAGACGGGGACGGAGCCGAGACGGGGTACGAGATGGGACGAGACGGGAACGAGATGGGGATGACGAATGGGACGAGACTGGGACGAGACGGGGACGAGATGGATGAGACGGGGACGAGGATGGGGACTGAGACTGGGACGAGATGGGACGAGCCAGGGACGCGAGCTGGTGGACGTAGATTCGGACGAGATGCGGAGAGACGAAGGACTGAGCCTGGGGCCGATGCCTGGGACGAGGATGGGACGAGACGGGACGAGACTGGGACGAGACGGGACGAGATGGACTGAGACAGTGACGAGATGGACTGAGACTGGGACGAGACGGGGACGAGATGGACGAGACGGGGACGAGATGGGACGATACGGGGACGAAGAGAGATGGGACGAGACGGGGACGAGATGGGAGGAGACGAGGACAAGACGGGGACGAGATGGGACCCCCGAGACTGGGGACGCGACTGGGACGAGACGGGACCAATGACTGGGACGAGACGGGGACGAGACGGGGACGAGACGGGGACGAGATGGGACGAGATGGGACGAGACGGGGACGAGATGGGGACGAGACGGGGACGAGAGGGGACGAGATGGGACGAGATGGGACGAGACGGGGACGAGATGGGACGAGATGGGGACGAGATGGGACGAGATGGGGACGAGATGGGATGAGACGAGGACAAGACGGGGACGAGATGGGACGAGACGGGGACGAGATGGGACGAGACGGGGACGAGACGGGGACGAGATGGGATGAGACGGGGACGAGATGGGGACGAGACGGGGACGAGATGGGACGAGACGGGGACGAGACGGGGACGAGACGGGGACGAGACGGGGACGAGATGGGATGAGACGGGGACGAGATGGGGACGAGATGGGACGAGACGGGGACGAGATGGGACGAGACGGGGACGAGATGGGACGAGACGGGGACGAGACAGGGACGAGATGGAACGAGATGGGACGAGACGGGGACGAGATGGGACGAGACGGGGACGAGATGGGACGAGACGGGGACGAGATGGGACGAGACGGGTACGAGATGGGACGAGACGGGGACGAGACGGGGACGAGATGGGACGAGACGGGGACGAGATGGGACGAGACGGGGACGAGACGGGGATGAGATGGGACGAGATGGGACGAGACGGGGACGAGTTGGGACGAGACGGGGACGAGATGGGACGAGATGGGGACGAGATGGGACGAGATGGGACGAGATGGGACGAGATGGGGACGAGACGGGGACGAGACGGGGACGAGATGGGATGAGACGGGGACGAGATGAGGACGAGATGGGACGAGACGGGGACGAGATGGGACGAGACGGGGACGAGATGGGAAGAGACGGGGACGAGATGGGACGAGACGGGGACGAGACGGGGACGAGACGGGGACGAGACGGGGACGAGATGGGATGAGACGGGGACGAGATGAGGATGAGATGGGACGAGACGGGGACGAGATGGGACGAGACGGGGACGAGATGGGACGAGACGGGGACGAGATGGGACGAGATGGGGACGAGACGGGGACGAGACGGGGACGAGATGGAACGAGATGGGGACGAGATGGGGATGAGATGGGACGAGATGGGACGAGACGGGGACGAGATGGGGATGAGATGGGACGAGATGGGACGAGACGGGGACGAGATGGGACGAGACGGGGACGAGATGGGGACGAGATGGGACGAGACGGGGATGAGACGGGGACGAGATGGGATGAGACGGGGACGAGATGGGCCGCCTCCACTCCTGTGGGGATGGGGGTGCTAGCTCGACAAGCTCTTGGTTCTGTCTCAGACCTATGGCCTTGACCTCTCCCAGTCAAATGAGTAGGCTCAGGTAGAATTTGGGGCCTCTCTAAGTATCTCCAGATAAAGAAATCAACATCCCAAAGTCAAAAACACAGCAAAGCAGAATGTCTGCCTGGAAATTCTCCTCCTCAGGGCCCCTGGATTAGTGTGGGCTCTCAGAGGGCAGGTCCTTTGTGGCTAGGGGAAGAGTGAGGGGGATGCCTCATCATTTTGAAGGCGAAGACAGTGAGCCTTGCCCAGCCGGTGTGGCTCAGTGGATTGAGCGTCATCCCGCCCTGGCCAGTTTGGCTCAGCGGTTAGAGCGTCGGCCTGCAGTCCGGAGAGACCCGGGTTCGGTTCCCGCTGAGGGCACGTACTTCGGTTGCAGTTTGTCCCCGGCCCTGGTTGGTCGTGCAGGTGGCGGCCACTCGATGTGTCCCTTCACATCGATGTTTCTCTCTCTCTTTCCCTCCCACTCTATCTGTACGAAAGATGGAAAGATATCCTCGGGTGAGGATAAAAAAACAAAACAAAAACAAAAACAAAACAAAAAAAAAACTGAGTATTTGCCCTGGCCAGTTTGGCTCAGCGGTTAGAGCGTCGGCCTGCGGTCCGGAGAGACCTGGGTGCGGTTCCCGCTAAGGGCACATACTTCGGTTGCAGTTTGTCCCCGGCCCTGGAGCGTCATCCCGTGGACTGAGAGGTCCTGGTTCGGGTCCCAGTCAGGAGGCAGCTAATCGATGTTTCTCTCTCCCATCAATGTTTCTCTCTCTCTCCCCCTTCCTCTTTCTCTAAAAAATCAATGAAAATATATTAAGAGGGGAAAAAAGCCTCAGAGAAGTCGTGACTAGCTCAAGGTCACACACCTCATCACGGAAGGATCTGAGACTCAAAATCAGTGACTCCCCTGGACAGAGAAGCCAGAGATGTGGGCAGTCAGGTAGTTTTATGCTCAGCAGAAGCTCTGGTATTTTTTAAAGCACCCTAGGTGATTCTAGCCAGAGCTGAAGACACTGAGCAGAGTTTGGGATCAATCATAGAAAGATCTGCTTTGGAGGAGTCCTACTCAAATTTGAGTGGTCCCCTGAATCCTCTGGGATCTTATTCGAGTGCAGATTCTGATTCAGAACATCTGAGGCGGGGCCGGGGAGTCTGTGCTTCTAACAAGTTCCCAGGGGCTGCTGCTGCTGCTGCCGGTCCAGGGACCACACTTTGAGCAGCAGGGCCTTGGGAGAGTCCGGAGGCCTTGGAGGAGACTTGGGGTTGGAGATGGGGAGGAGGGCTGGAAAGTTCTAGCCAGCGTAGCAGAGAGTGTTGCTGAGTTTTGAGTTGAAGTTGGAGCAGGGTGGCTTCAGCGGGGGTGGGCTTCTCACCAGCTGCCCGAGAGGTCTGGGCATGGGCCTCGCTCTGGCCCTCCAGCCCCGAAGTTCTCAGTTTCCTAACTTGCACGTGATTTTCCAGCATCAATCTCTGCCAAACTGGAGTTTCGACATTGGAAACTCGAAGTTGGGTGAGTCTGCAGATTGTCAGAACCAAGGAGTGTGTACACCCTCATGCCCCAGCAGGGGGCTGCTGCAGCTCGCTGCCAATACCCACTCCACGCGGGCCGGGGAGGTGCTCGGCCCCGTGACTGCCCTCCCAGGCCCTCTCACCCCGCTGCTCCCCTGGCTGCCCCCTGACCCGGGCGCACAGGCTGGCACGCTCCTGGGGGAACTGCCCGGGGCGTCAGCCTTTCCCACTCGAAGTGGGCCTGCCCACTGAAGGTCTGTGTTCTGATTAGCTGGGCCCTGTCCTGTTTGCTTGTTGTTGTTTCTCTGCTAATGAGCCTAACAAGAACCACGTGGGCAATGGGGCGTTGGCTCTGGGTGGCTGAGTCCTGCGCTCTGTAGAATGTAGGGCTCTTGGCTCCACAACCAGTCATCTGGCTCTCCTGCCTCCCCCACTGGTTTGTGGGCTCCCTCTCTGCTCCCCACAGCTGCCCCTCTGGCTGTCGCCGAGACTGCCGGTGCTGGGAATGCTCATGACTCTGTCCTAGAACTTGCACACATGTGGGGTGACTCTTCGGCCAGCAGGAGAGGAGGGCTGACAAGGACGGGTGTGTGACATCCTCCCACTGCCAAGGATGGAGTCTAGCTGCAGAACCATGTGGAGACTCAGTCTTTCCCCTGGTGTCTCCCAGATACCTGGGGTCCAACCCACTGCCCGCGCACAGGGAGTGATGGCCCAAGCCCCGTGGGGCACCCCCTGGAACCCTCTTGCCTCCGCTCACAGAATCCTAGGTTGCTGTCACATACCAGCCATCTCCCTGGCCGGCCCCAGCCTTCACCCCTGCCCAGTCACTGGACCTCCGGGAGCCACTGTATCTGCAGGTGGACATTTCTGGAGCCACAGCTCCTCCCTCCACCTTGGCCGAGACTTGAGCTGGGTCCTCTCTCCTTCTCTCATCTTGGTATCTGCTTGACCTTCTGTGGCTTTGTCAGCTCTGTCATGCGATTTCTGTGTTTATGTATTTGTGGAGGCGGAGGACTGGGGCCTGCCCGGCCCACTCAGCTGAGGGGAAGGACTGTAGAGTGTGGGGTGAAGGGGTCCTGTGTATAATAAGGACTTTTGGAAGACTGTCCAGGCTGACTCACCCTCCTCACCACCCCAACACACACACACACACACACACACACACACACACACACACATACACACAATGGGAAGAGGATTTGAAGAATTCGGAATTCTTTAAATTCTCATTTTATCTCAGCCTAGCTGTACAGGGACCAGGGCTGTTCTGGGGAGGGCAGAGGGAGTCCCTGCTGATGAGAAGGGGGCTAGGTGGATTTTTCCCTCCAACCCCCCAGCAGTAACATTTAAGGTTAAGAGTATGTGCTTTGAATTCTGGTGCCAGATCCAAGCAGTGGTGGGCTTGAATCCCAGCTCTGCGTCCTCCGGCAAGTGACTGGCCCTCTTTTGCCAAAAAGCCTCATCCATTCAGTGGGTATAATCATTTGTATAGAGTTGTTTTGGAGAAGAGTAATGATGATAATACTCTGTAGCTCTTACTGTGGGTCAGGACTTTATATTATTAATTTTTAATCCTCACAACAATCCTATAAACTAGATTTGATCTGTATTCCCATTTACACACGAGGTTAACTATTTGTCCCAGTCTTGCAGCTGGGAATCAGCAGAGCTTGGAAGTTTAGCTGTTGTTTTAATCTAGATCCAGGAGACTGTGCTGCCTGCCAGGGTTTAAATGCCGGCTTCACCACTTAACTGCGTGACTACGGGCGAGATGCTCAAGCTCTCTGTGCCTCGGTTTCCTCTCCTGTAAAATGTGACTATTATTAGTGTCTGGCTCACCAAGTTGTAAGGAACGAATGAGATAACTCACGATAAATGTTCAGTTCAAGGCCTGGCATGTTCTGTGTGCTCTGTGTTTAGCCTTGGTGTTGAGAACAGGGACTTGTCTCCTGGCCCCCAGCATGCCGCTCAGGAGCAAGTGTTCACTGGACACAAAGTAAGATCAATGAATGTGTACTGAATAATACAGGGCCTTGCCCTGGTCTGTGCTGGGATGAGCCCTTCGTGGCCCCAGGTCTATCAGCCCTTCCAGAGAACTCCCCACAGTGCTCAGGAGACCCTCAGGGGGCCCGGGGGTGGCCTGGGCATTTGCTCCTGTCTTCTTGGTCCAGAACCTCTGCGTGGCTTTCATTCTGGTCACATCTCAGTGCTACAAGGACCCCTACCCTCCTGACCTGAGCTTCCTCTTGACTTTCCTGAGGGAGCTTCCTTGGTCACCCATCCCAGCCCTGTAATGACCTCATCCTAAAGGTTAAGAGCCCCAACTTTGGATCCGGACTCCCTGGGTTCAAACCCTTGCTCCATCACTTACTAGCATGCTGATCTCAGGCAACTGCTTGGCCACCCTTCCCCATATGTCAAATGGGAAGGAGAATCATATTTATAGTAGCTGTAAGAAGGGAGAAAAGAGATACATGTAAAGAAGTTAACCCAGGACCTCGTAATGGTAACTGCTGAGCAAACGTTCAGGAAAAGGGTCAGGGCAGGGGGGTGATTTGCAGGTTCTTCACTGACTGGTTGGAACCACCAGGAGCCAGAATGGTGGAGAGGAAGGTGGGAGGAGGCTAAGGGAATAATCACAGGACCTCAGTGAGGCCCAGCTAACATGAAAGGTGCAGTTCCAGCGAGAGACCGTCCATCTCTCCCCCTACCCCTGGTGAACATGTGCATCTCCTGCAGGTCTACTCTAGAAGATGTTTTTACCCAGAAGCCTCCTGGAACTGAGTGCTGTGTTCTGTCAACAGCGCAGCGCTGGCCCTCTCTACCGACTCCGCACACATTTGTTAAGGGCCTAAGTGGGTGACTGATCACAGGGTGACCTGGTAGTTTCCTTCTGCCACCCCAGCTGCCTCTTCTCACCTCCTTGGCTGGTTTCTCCTTTTCTACCCAGCATGTTAATGTTGGGCTGCTCCAGGACTTTCCCCAGATCTTCCAAATCCCCACACAAAGAGGGGGCCATGGGAGCCAAGCCAAGCATTATCTGCTCCCCATTACTGAGCACCAGTAGGCACCATGCCAAACAATTAACATACAACAATAATAGTGCAAAGCGCTCTCGGTGCCAGGGACCACGCTAAACACTTCAAACCCCTTCATCCTGTGAGAGGACATCAAGTCACACTCTGTCCCGGCCCCTCCTGCGTCTCTGCTGCTGCTTCCCCTCTACCCAACAACTGAACGTGGCTTCCCAGAACTGAATCCTGGGTCCTCTGCTTGGCTTTCTCGCTGCGCTGCTCCTGGAATGATCTAATGCATTCCCATGGATGTAAACATCGTCTCTGGACTGACGACGCCCAGATTTATATATATCTTCAGCCAGACCTCTCCTCCGACCTCCAGACTCCTTCGTCCCACTGCCTACTCGACATCTGCTCTTGATGCCTCCCAGACATCCCCACCCCAACTTGTCCAAAATGAACTTGTGGTTTCCCTCCCTCTGAGCCAACTCCCCTGGCAGGTCTAACCCACCCTCTAAAAGGCATCCCCATCTACCTGAATGCTCAAGCCAGACACCTGGGGGCCCTCGGAGACACCTTCCTCTCCCTCAAGCGTTGCATCTAATCTGTCATGAGCCCTGTTTGTGTTCCTGCCTAAATCCCTGGGGAACCTGCCTGTCTCTCCCTGCTTCCCCCGCTGCCTCCAGTCCAGGCTCCAGCACCCACTCCTGGGCGACGGCAGCCACGAGCTGACTGCTCGCCCCCTGCCCCCTCACCCTCTGGCTCTTTCTCCATAAATTAGATCATAACACACCCCTGTCCAAACCTTCCTGCTGTGGCGTATCAGCCTTGTCTCTCGGCACTCACCCCGCGCTCACCGGGTCCAGCCTGGATCTGAGTGCTACCTCAGGGCTGTTGCACGTGCTGCTCCCTTGGTTCGCTTTTCCTCCTCTCTTTATGAGGCTGGCTCCTTGTCACCCTTCTCGTCTCCATTTCAAGTTCCCCTCCTCAGAGGAGCTCCCCCTAACCACTCAGTCTAGAGCTGCCCCCCACCAGCCCGGCCGTTCTAGACCTCATCCCCTCCACTGTTTCCACCGTAGCTCACATCCCGATTCCTGTCCTTCTGCTTGCTTGTTCACTTGCTTTGTGACAGTCTAAGTTGAGAGGTCCATCAAAAAAGAGGACAGTGCCTGTCTTGCTTACCATCTGAGGCAAATAGGAAATATCGGGTGCATGACCATTTTCTAGATGAGTACACTGAGGCTCACAGAGGTGGAGAGACTTGCCCAGGGCCCCGTGGTTGGAGTTCAAATGCAGGTCTTCGACAGCAAGGCCGCTCTCTCCCACACACTTCTGCCCGGGCCTTGGCTGTGCAGCAGGTGGGAATGGTGCCCTGCCCTCCGACCTCCCTGGGCCCGGGCATGGAGCCGGTGCTGCTGTGGAAGGGCTTGGGTGGCTTCACGTCAGCCACGGAGTCTCATGTCCCATCCTACCCTTCTCTTATCTCCAGGTCCCCTCTGGCACTAAGGCCTCCAAAGCCCTGCCTCCTTCCAGATAAGGTCTCAGGGCTTTGGCAGGGCAGACAGTGACTCTTCTGCTTTGGAGCAGGAGCTGGAGGCGAACCCATGCCTCAGCCCTGGGCCACAGCCCTGCCCGTGGTCACCCTCCTCGTGCCTGCTCGAGCCCGTGGGAATTGGGGCTGCTCCCTGGCCCTGGCCTCCAACTGGCCCAGCATGGAGGCATTTGTTAATGCAATTAGCAGGGCGGTCCATGCAGAGGGGCTGGGGGCCAAGGTCTGACTCACACCTCCCTTTCCTCCCCTCCCTCTGCCAAACGGTAGAGGCCCACTCAGCCTGCCAGACAGCGTCTGCAGAGAGCGCGCGAGGGGCCAAGAAAGGCATCTTTCTCTCATTAGAGGCTTTTATGTGAACACAACTGCTATTTTGGAGCCGGGCGCTTGGCTGGCCCCTAAGCCCCAGTGCTGTTCCAGCCGCCCTGAGCTGCGGCCCCAGCACAGCTGTGGTGGGAGCAGGGTGAGTCCTTGAGGACCTGACTTCTCCCCCTGCCTTGGAGCTTGGGGCTGAGGTCAGGTCTGGGGACTCAGACCCTGGGCAGAGCTCGGGAGTGGAGAGGACGAGTCCCCAGGTGGATTCTAAGGTGTGGGAGCCAGACAAGGATTTCCTGGGCCTCGGGGGTCTCTGATGTCTGTCCTCTTTCTGTGAGGGAGGAATCAGGTGGCTCCGTTGGTAGGATCTTAGTGTCTCACTGACGCAAATTTTAGGGAAGATAGAGGTTTAATGGAGGAGCAGCTGAGCCTCAGGTGTGGGGGTACTGGGCCCAGAGTCTGATCCAGAACTGAGGTTCATCTTCCAGACTAGAGGGCATGGCGTTGGAGGCCTTGGAGGGGGGCACAGGCCTAAGGGTCCCACCCCGAAGTCAGTGCCTCATTAAGGGGCTATAGATGGAGGGAGGCTGTATCTCTGGGGCCCAGGAGAGAGACCTGATGACAAAAGCCCACCCTGGGGGTGGGGGTGGGGGTGGGGTAGAGAGGGAACTGCTGAATTTACCATCTGGAAAGCAGCCTGCCTTCTGGACCACAGGGCTTGGTCCATCTCTGGGGACAGGGTCACAGCAGACGTTCAGAAGGCCTCTTGCCGCTGCCGTTGGGGTTGTGGTGGAAATTTCTAAAGCTTTGCAGTGCTGTCCAACAGAACCTTCTGTGATGATGGACATGTTCTGTATCTTTCTGTTCAGCACGGTAGCCAGGAGCCGCATGTGGCCGTGAGCCCTTGAAGTGTGGCCAGTGCAACTGAGAAACTGGATTTTAAGTTTCATCTCATGTTAACCGGTTTCATCTTAAATAGCCACATACACCTCATGGCTGCAGCATTAGACAATGTTGGACAGCACAGCTTTAAAGAGTTCAAAGCACTTCTACATCCTCGATCTCTGTGGAGATTCACAAGTCTTGGAGGCCAGAATGATCAGACCTATGTTATGGGTGAGACAATGAAGGCAGCGGTTGGAGAATCTCAACAAGATGGGACGTGTCCAAGGTCACGCAGCGGAGATGTGGCTGAGCTGGAGTCAAACTAAATCCTACTGACTCCCAACCCCATGTCCTTGCTGCTACCAAGTAGCTGATCGCAGCAGCTCTCGGCAAATGGTAGAAGCAGCCTAAATGGTGGGAGCTGTTTCCAGAATCTTCCCAGCCCTGCCCATTCCAAGTTTGGTCTCCTCCCAAAGGTGGGGGTTTTGTGTGGAAAATCTGATCAAACCTCTGCTTGGCTGTTTTGGAGCAGAGTAAAGGTAGAAGGGGCATAGCCAGAAGGTGGGGGGTTGGAGGAACAATGCCTTCTATTTCTTACTTTCAAAGCAATTTTAAGAGTTTTCTTTTTGTTCCCCTCTCTTTTGGCATCCTGCTAACTCCACAGAGCTGAACTCCCAACGCTGAAACTTTCCACATGCCCAGGCCTCAGTGGGAAAGAGAGAGGGCCAGGGGAGTGTGGGGGAGCCCGAGTTATGAATGGCCAAAGACTGGCATTGGCGAGTGGGCATCGGTTGTCTGAGGATGCCAGCTTCCAGCAGGGAGGGCTTAGGGTGTGTCCTCAATGGCTGGACGTGGACATCGTGGCATCATACTTGATAACCGTTCACCAATAATCAATCAATGAAGATTCACTCAAGCCACATCCTCCATCCTGGGGTGATTTCTCCAGTGTAAGGCACATCTGTGCTCCTGAGGAAAAATGGAAGGGATTAGATGCTAAAAGTAAAACATAAAATGCCTGGTGTGGCTCAGTGGTTGAGCACTGACCCATGCACCAAGAGGTCGCTGGATCGATTCCCGGTCAGGGCACATGCCCAGGTTGTGGACCCGATCCCCAGTGGAAAACATGCAGGAGGCGGCCAATTGATGTCCTCTCTCATCGATGTTTCCATCTCTCTCTCCCTCTCCCTTCCTCTCTCTCTAAAATCAATAAAGAAAAAAAATTAAATAAAATAAATGTAAAGTAAAACATAAAGACTTCCAAGCCCACCATATTTGGGAGTGTTCTCTCTTAAAATCCCCGGTGCTGCAGGGCACCGTCTCTGCTGGGCCCTCGGGTTCCTTCTTTGCTTTATGCAACAGCCCCTGCCATTGGCTGTTCTGAGTTGGCTGGTTTCCTTTCAGATCCTTCAGTTTTGAAATCGGTGCTCATTTGACAGAGGAATGTTTTGCTTCAGTCTCCTTTAAACAAAAGGACACGTGACTACGATTGCCCCCTCCTTCCCAAAGTGTCCCAAACTTTTGGATTTCATGCACCAGTAAAATGTCCAAAAACATCTTCGGCACCAAAGTACAGGAGCCAGTTTTCCATTTTGCTAAATGAGGATGTTAGAAAAACAAACTACTGTTTGCCATCACCTTTAATTAAAAAAAAACACGTTAACACCAAAAAAAAAAAAAAAAAAAGGCAGGAAAGATATAATTTCAAAATAAAAGACATTTTTTTAAATGGAGGGAAGAAAGCATTACCAAAAAGTCAGGAAATTGTTTTTATTTCCCTTATTTTATGGTAGGCCAGTAAAAACTGTCCTAAGAATGTACCCTTTCATAGACAGGCAGTTGGAGCCACCATTTGGGGCCATTTTGGGGTGACTTGGGGGAATGGAGAGAGAGGAGTTTATGGTCCAATCCCATAATGCAGGGGCTCAGCTCAGAACAAAACTAGAGTGTTTACTTAGTGAGGAAGTCAGTCTTGCTGAGACTTACGAAAACAACTCAAGAGCAGATGCAAATGAGGTCCGTGAGGGCTGGCTCAACACCTCCGAAAACCTGGAACTTGTTGGAAAATCTTTTTTAGAAGATCTGATCCAGAAAGGTTATCTTCCCAAGGAGGTTTTTTCCGCCAACAAATTGGGCTGGTTTGGAAACCCTTTAGAATTTTTATTTACCACAATGTTATATACATATTAAATGCTGTTTTTATAGTTTCCCCTCCTACCTACCCATTTTCCATGAGCTGTTCATTGTACCAACCGAAGCTTGCCAAGCCTGGTCTGCACCGAGGACCTGACTCCCTGACTCCCCGCGCGGCCGTGAGAACCCGCCGCTGGGCAGAGCTTCCTGCACGCAGGGCCAGTCCTGTTGTCTCTGCACCTCCAGCACCCAGTGTGCCCAAGAGGGTGCTTCCTAATTGTCTGCAGAATGTCTGAGCACGTAAGACAGAACCAGAAGTAAGCAAGTTGCCGGTGAGTCAGGAATTTAGGGCCTTAGGTTTTAGAGAGTGGATGTTGTTAAACTCAAGAAAGGGCTGTCCTCAAAGCCTGGCGAGGGGGGCTCGTAGAAGAGAGATGGGCTTCAAAGGGCCACCTTTAAGGCAAGGACCACCCACCCACTCAGAGGAGGAAGGGACACCTAGACTGGGAGACTGCTGCATGGCCTTCCTCTCACCCATGCCAGGCTTTGAGGATCTGTCAGCACAGAGGTGTGGCTTTGAGGGACCAGGGGTGATGCAGCATTTGTGGTCCACGTGGAAAATCACTCAGGCCTTCGCTTTCCACTCCCTCCCTAAAATAAACCGGGGCAGAGACCTGGCCTGGGCGTACCTTTTCCCCCAGTGTTTGCTGGCCCTGGTTTGGCTGTGGGGCTGGTCTCCAAGGGTGGTGACAGGGGCCTGGCAGGTAGTTAGGTGGGGCCTCTGCTTCCTTCACTGAATATTCTCCCACTCTGTCACCAGACCCCCGCCTCCTTGGACCTCTAACCACTCCTAGAACACTTCGTGTTCCCTCCAGCCTCCAGAGCTTTGCACTTGCCCATCCCTCCGCCTGAAAGGGTCTGTCCATATCTTTGCCGGCCACCTCCTTTGCACCAGTCACATCTCACTCTTCAGAGAGGCCTGCTCTGACCACCCATCTAAAGCGCCTGTTTGAGCACTGACCACTGCATCACCCGAGGCACTGCCTGAAACAACATTATGCTATTGTTTTCTTGTTTCTTATGGGTCTCCCTGACTCGACTGCAAGCTCCAAATGGGCAAAGACTTTGTCCCTAGGGCCTAGCACACAGTGGCTCAGCAAATATTTGTTGAATGAATGAGTGACAGGTGGAGGAGACACTGGGTTTAGAGGGTCCAGCACGCGCCCGATTGTGCTCTTCTGGGTTCCCACCTGTTCCCCAGGGGAGGTCCTGCACTCCAGTGTGTGTGCCCGTGTGTGAATCTCCCTTGGCCGCTGGTCACTGGAGGTGACTCTGATTTTGCAAGGTGATGAAGGGCAGTGAAGAGAGAAGTCATGGCCTCCATGGCCAGTGGCTGCTGCACAGTGCTGGCTTGGAGAAAGGGGTTGAGGTCAGTTCTACTTTACCCTCAGGGTGGACCGAGGGCCCAGGAGTTAGAATCCTTCCAGCTCCTGGTCAGGAGTTCCACCACTTGCTAAGGAGGATTGAAGCTTCAGAGCAGATGTTCTTAAAAGATGAAGAAGAGCCCTGGC